AAAAAAAAGCCCCAGACTTTGAGGTTAGCCTTTTACAAAGATAGTCACGCCTATTCAAGGTTATCATGGCTATTGTTGTCTTGCACCCTTCTTTGAGGTCATTTTCGGCTTAGATGGGTTTCCTTAGTTTTATCATTGCGCTGCAGTGGAAACGATAGATGGACAATTTGTTCTAGTATTCTTGTATCCACAGTCAAGCAGGATACTTAATGGAGACACCCCCACCTATCACCCTGGCTAAGTGATTGCTAAAACTGTTGACTAAATCACTTATCATCATTGTTCATCACATCATCATCATCATCATCATCATCATCATCACCACCATCATCATCATCATCATCATCATCATCATCCAGTGCCAGATCCGCGACAGACATCGGCGATCATGGTTCTCCATTCATTCCTTTGCTCGGATGCTCTCAAAAAAGCTACGTTCCCCTGATTTTTCTCCGTTACCCATTTGTTTAGGTTCCCTAAGTATGTTGTTCTGAGCCTACCTCCGTCTCGTTTGCCTTCAATTTTGCCAGTGAGAGCTAGATGTTCAAGACCCTTATGTCTATTCAGGAATCCCAAAAACTGCATTTGTCGTTTCCCGATTGTTTTTAACATTGAGCGTCCCACGTGGGCTTTATCAAGCACTACCTCATTTGATTTCTTTTCCATTCACGATACTCTTAGCATTCTCCTAAGAAACCACATTTCTGTTGCTTCTATTTTATTTTCACTGTCTTTAGTGATTGTCCAGCATTCACAGCCATATAGAAGGGTTGATAATACATAGCATTTCAGAACTTTCATCATTGTTCATTAAAACTAAAATTAACCAATGCAAATAGAAAATGATTTACGAAACTCAATTAGAAAAACAAAAAAGAATATTATCATACATCAATTACAGCAGCACAGGGGATATGAGACGCAACAGCAACAATAACAGTAACAACCAGCAAATTAAATATGAAGTAGTAACTCCAACCTTAGACTGATATCATAAACAATACCATTAATCAACCGCTGGTGATTTAGAGGTGCCACTGATAGTTCGTACTTTCTTTCTTTATCTCTTTTGTTTCCACCCGCCTTGATTTTTTGTCTGCCTGTTGGTAATTATTGCGTTGGTGTACTCAAGCCAAACATCAATAAGGACAATAATACACGTTTTGAATTAGCAGTAGGCTACTTGCTAAAACAAAAGAATATCTCACAGTAGAAAAAAACGCTCTCTATTACAAAACATAACAAACCTTAGAGATAATAATGTTATGCCTAGCAGAAAATATTCTAGAATGCGACGGTCATAGGCATGTTGACGCATTTCGTTGTTACGGCCTTCTCCAGTAGAAAAATATGTTGTTCTTTTTTATTTCATTCAAAATATTTCAACTTAGCGGGCTTGGGGGTGGGGGTGGGGGGTATTTTTTGTTGGTGTTATTGGGGGTTTTTTTTGGGAGGTGGGCGGTTATTGCTCCTGCTGCTGCTGCT